CGCCTAAAGCACACCTACAACAAATTTAAAGAGTACTTATTATTAAAATGGACGACATCAAAAGCATTCTCACCGAGCGAAGCGGAGCGAGCAGCGAATCAACCGAAGCGAACGTAGCGAGCGTCAAAGACAGACTCTGTTCGATAGTTGCGTCAGGTGAAAGTAAGAAGTATCTCGGCAAAGAATATTCGATCAAAGAAATTGAAGCTCTGTCACCCAAAGACCAAGAGAAGCTTTTCAATTTGTACGAAGTTAAATTTGGCAAAGACATCGTTAAAACTCTAGGTAACGCTATTTTGAGCCTCTACTCTCGCTTACTCGGTATAGCTACTCCGATCGATCTACTCGGGTTCAACGTCAACTTAACGTCTGAAGAAGCGCTGACCAAAGACCTAAACGACGACCCGATTATCAGTCAAACGATGGGACACCTACTCACTGAGGTTTGTTATAAGTACGGTGTGTACTTGTCACCACTTACAGCCGCGTTGATTACCACTAAGCATCTAGAATTCAACAAAAGCTCTGTTATATTAAAAGAGGATGTCAACAACAACAACAAACGAAGCGAACCCGACACCAGCGAACAACGAAGTGACGAGCGAAGCGAGTGTTACTCCGGTCAAGACGGTAACTAAAAATAAAGTAAACGTTAAAACTCCAAAGCGTGTAGAACAAGGTAAAAAATTAGCCGAGCATAACAAAAAGATGAAGCAGCAGCTCGCCAAGATGAGATTAGCGAGCGAAACGAGCGAAGAGAGCAACCAAAACTTCAGCTCAGAAAATAAAATTTATCAAACGGTTACAGAGAACAGACACTTGATATTTGGTGGATTGGCGATTGGAGCGCTTGCGGTCTATTTAATTTGGAAAAATAAGTCGACGGTTAAAGTAAAACGTGTGAGTCTCCATTTTATTATATACGTTTTGAAAAATCTTGTTTGGTCAATCTATACGTCTTGTTTGGCGAGGTTTAATTTATCGAGGGCGTTTTCCCAGTGCTTATCCGAAACTTGAAATAGATCTTTCACTTTAGATTCAGTTTCCCCAGTTGTGTCTTGATAACACACCGCAATTAAAGCCTTCAACGGTTTACCTCTAGAGATCTTACCGATTAAAACTCGGTTTAACTTATATTCTATTTCACCCGCTTCCCCGTTTTTAAAACAAATGTTATATTTTGTAGGGTTTTTCTCGATTTTGGCGGCTTGGGTTTTTTCCAAACGTGATGCTTATAATATCGATCTCCCATATCTGCGGGGGTGTACGAAGAAACCCACCCAAAAATTAGGCCACAATGTTTACAAGCGTTTCTTTCATCTATTTCAACTATTTGGTGGTTACAAGCGAGTATGGGTTGACTTTGTTTTTGTGATCCCGCTATGTGTACTTCCTTTAGATTCAGCAAGTGACAAAGTTCCGCATCAGTCATTTTATATAAGGGTTTATTTATTTCAAATAAAAAAAAATTAACCCCGGTTATTCCGAGGAATAACCAAGGTTAAATTTTGATAATACTCGTTTTCACTCGCTTTCATTCCCCCCTAGCTTTTCTTTAATCACTTTCACTCACTTTCATTCTCCCCTAACGCTTCCCCAAAGCAAGGTTTTTCTTTAACCGTGAGCATAGTCGCCGTGACTCGATATCTAACGCTCGCTCCGCAAGAAAGTGAACCGTGGGCACCAAAATAAATGTCTCTAAGAGAGATCAAAGAGACCGCGTGACATTTTTTATTTACAAAAAGAGCGCGATCGATTTCTTTAAACGACTTATCCACCAAAGAGGCATCATAGTCGATCTTAACATATATCCTACTTTTATCGGTAAAAGCCGGTTTAACTAAGCAATTGATCCTATCGGGTAGGTCGTCTAGTTTTTGAGACACTTTAAAAGAGTTACGCGTACTCGCGGGGAGATCTTCTAGCATCTTATCTGATAAGTTTTCAAAATAATTATGAACTTCGTCATTTACACGTAATAGCAACGATTCAGTCTCGGGAGATATCTGATAACAAATTTGATCTTGACCAGTAGGTTCCTTAGTACCATATTTGTAAACTGGGTTGACACCGTAACAAGGGTCTTCGAGTCTAATCAACAGTTGTTTGTTTTGCCCCTCGTGGTGATAAGCGATCTTAGAAAAACATTTTGTTGGTCTTAAAATGACTAAATATTTAGGATCAAAGGGGCCATAGGTAACTTTTGGGTTGCGGTTGCCAGCATTCAGGCGCTCGTAGTCATTTGAGACGATATATATTTGACTTGACATGGTTCTATTTATAATTAGGTTTCTAAAATCTTTCTCGTTTTTATTCAACATGTTCTTTTAAATACTATTATTTTTATATATAATAGCATTTATTTAAGGTGGTTGTAAACAAAGCGTGTTTTGCTTTTAAACAGAGCCAAGGTCACGAGTTCAGGTCGGGCAAGTCTCGACTTGTAACAAGGGGAAATCCCTTTTTGTTTGTGAGCGATTGCTGGTGCAGGTCGGTGCCAGTCACGAGTTGTTTACAGCCGGGGTCAAATGTTCAAGATCAGTGAAGTGGAAATCCCCGGCGCTAGTCACGAGTTGCTTACAGGAAAAGTGGCGTCAAAAGGTGAGTGGGAATCCCCGGTGCGTGTGGTGGGTGAAAGGGGGTGAAAAGGGCGTGTGGTCCAGAATTGGCTAATTCCTACTACTGTACCAGATAGACCATGAAGGGTGCACCACTACAAA